GAGGCGGTGTGGAGGCAGGAGGGAAGCCGCAGCCTAAGGCTGTTGGCTGTAGATTTGGGGTTTGTAGTTTGGGTTTTTACAGTTGGGCTGTAGTTTGTGTGTTTTGGGTGCGTTGCTTGGGGTATTTCCCCCCTTTCCCCTCCCCCCCGCGCCGTTGAGGAGGGGCGCTCGGTGTTGTGATCGCCGTCCCGGCGGAAGGGGGGGGCGAGGGGTCGGTGCCCCCCGCCGTCCTTGTTTATAAGACGCTGAAGCGAAGCCGGCCTGTATTCGGAGTGCGGGTGGGTTTGTGCCGGGGTAGAGACAGGCGTCTCTGGTCTCCTTCCAAATCCGTGAAGGGTTCTCAATTCAAAACGTCACTGATGGAAAGCAGGCCTCTGTAAGGGTGCCTGCGAGCAGCGCCTTCTGTGGGTATGCCTAGGCTTGGCTGAAACTGGCTTTAAAAATCAGCCTTGACAGAAATCAGCTCTTAGGATCCGTGTAATTAAAAATGGGATGGAGGGGGGTGCGAGTAAGTGTCCCCCTGAGGGAAGAGGGGGAGCATGCCTGTTAGTGTGCAGGGCAGAAGGGAGTACAAATCTGCTGCTGCTTGGTGGAGGGGGAAAGGTGTGTGTCTGGGAGCACACCCCAGTGCTCAGCTTTCCTTTTTGACTGAGAATTGCATGTGATAGCAGTTTAATATTAATCTGAGTCAGAGATCTAAGTGTATGATGTGGCAGGAATTGCCTGGGGAAGGGCTAAGGTCACTGTGGTTGGTGTGATGAAACAGCTCTGTTTTGTCCACCTGTGTGTTTCTGTAGATTACTTGAGGCTACTTTAAAAGTAGTGGTAGTAACATTTCCTCTCTAACAGATGAACGTTTGTTTGGAGAAGTTTTTAAAGCAAATTATGATGATCTAACTAAGCTTGTATTGGCATAACCACACTGGCTTGGAAGACTTCATGTTGATGACTGATCATACAAAAAACTGGGGTGAAAATTATACCAATAAAATGAGACTGTTTAAATTTAAATTCAGGTGATTTGGACTTCTAACTATGTAAACAGAGACCTTGTATGTAAAATTCAAGGTTGTTAATCTTCCTTACAGAAAAAGCTGTCCCAGTGGTGTTTTTTTTTCAGAATAGAGTCACAGGTCCTTAGGCTTCTTCAGACTTCACTCTTGTATGTGTAGAAGGCAGCTTATAAAATGTGTTGTGTATCAGTTCAAGGTTATGTGAATGCTCTTGTGTTTTGTCTGGTTGGCCCAACTATTTACTGAAAATTTCGCAGTGTCCTGATATTCTATCCAAGCTGCATGTGTAATATAGTTTCACCTGGTGTTACAGCATTTAAGACTTGCTGTTGTATCTGCCCACTATTTTTTTTAATGAATTTTTTCATTCATTTAGCTAGAAGTAGTATTATTTTATTTTTCAATGTCTCTTATGTCTTGCATTTGGTTAACACATTTTTCCACTCTTGTTTTTGGTGGAATTCAGTAAAAGGGAATACAAGAGAAACATTCAAGCTCTTAGGTTCCTAACCTGTGTTTAGAGATGTGGAATAACAAGATTTAAGGTAGTAGGATAGAGCAAATTAAGTACTGATTTCCCCACAAGCTTGGCAGTGTGGGAACTGATGGAACAACCACCTTTCTGTCCAGATTGGACAACAAAGTTCTCATGCTCTCAGTGTCTGCAAAAGTGATAAAGATGTAACTCACTTGTGACACAAAAAATGTTAATGCTTTCACTGTTTAAACAAGTATTGATATTTCTCAAATGTTTTGTCCCTGTCCAGACAGCTATTTGGGAGCTGTAATTATTTTTGCATCTTTTCATCTTTGTAACGAAGAAAGTAACTGCATCTTCCAGTTAGCTGTGAAGGAGCTGATAGTTCCCACTAGTAGGTGATCTATGCAATTTCCAAATAGCTGTCTAATGGCATTTGAATCTTTTTCTTTAAGGGAGCTCCAATTCGGCCTTGACAGAATGTTGCCATCTAACCACAAGCTGGTGTACGCTGACTTAGGATTCCCAAAAATACTTGAGAGCACTCTAGAGACTGTGCTTTGCAGGCGTGGGTATTGGCTTAAGTTCCATATTTCCCTCTTCAGAGTGGGGAGCTAGATATTTGTCAAGAACAAAAAGAAAGCTCTTTAGGTGAACAGAATACATGACTTGTAAATCGAAGAAAGTGTTCCTGTTCTGAGATGGGAGGGAAGTTAAACACCAAGTGCAGCTCTTAACCTCTGTTTCTAGCCTTAATGTTGGACTAAATATATGACAGTTGCACTGATGTGCAAAATGCCTACTGGCATTCTAAATTTCAGTCTTAATTTTGGCTTTGTTGGACTCATTTATCTCTCTGTAATGCTACCATAAGGATCTGATGGTTTTAGTTAGCCTACAACCCTCCCAGATTATGGGTAATATTGAAATATGATGTGTGTTTGTTTTTCTGAAAGATTTTGCACAGATAACAGATGTGCATTATAGGTGTTGCTGAAAAATGAAAATGCAGTTGTTGTGTGCTAACTGTGCTCAGGTGGATACACTGCATGTGATTTCAAAGTAATAAAATAACCTAAACTTCAGGGGGGATAATTGTGTAAACTTAGACTGGAAATGCTTAACCTTCTTACATCAAGTCTTATTTTTTGGTCATTTGTACCTACAACATCTGCAGCACTAAATAACGCATCATCCTCTTACAAGTTTATTGTATTACTGATTTGGGAGTGATGCTTGTCTTGCCTGTCTGGTTTTAACAGTCTGTTACAGGCTTCAGAAAAAGTCTTATTTGATATCAATTTTCAGTGCTTGCAACTGCAGTGGATTGTGACCGAATAGACAGCTGACACTGCTAGTCTGTCTTTAATAGTTAAAAGGTTGTTTGTCGCTTCTCTGTTGGTTAGGCATGTTTTTGGCACTTGGGTTATCTATTATACTTCTTGATCTGTGCCACATAGGACTTATATTTAAGAATTGCTTTCTACATGACCTCTATACGTGACCGGTTACTTTCTACGTTATCTCTTAAGCCAGGTAATAAAGAGACCTACCAGAGGGAATGCAATACTGGACCTGTTGCTCACCAATGCAAGTGAGCTAATCGGTGATGTCAAGATTGGAGGCAGCCTGGGTTGCAGTGATCATGCACTGGAGAAGCTCACAGTCCTGAGGGGATATGGGTCAGGTGAAGGGTAAAGTTGAGACTCTGAATTTTAGGAATGCAAAATTCTAGCTGTTGAAGAAATTAGTCAATAGGACCCCCTGGGAAACTGCCCTCAGGGACAAGGGAGTAGAACAGGATGCTTTTCTTGGAGCATAAGAGCTCTCGATCCGCAGGTGTAAGAAATCAGAAAAGGAAGGCAAGTGACCAGCATGGCTGAGTTGATACCAGCTGGTCAAACTAAAGGCCAAGAAGGAAATGCACAGGCAGTGGAAGCAGGGACAGGTATACTGGGAAGAGTATAGGGATGTTGCTTAGCTGTGTAGGGATGGGGTCAGGAAGGCCAAGGTGCAGCTAGAGCTGAACTTCGCAAGGGATGCAAAGAATAATAAAGCGGCCTTCTACAGGTATGTCAGCCAGAAAAGGAAGGTCAAAGAAAATGTATCCCTGCGTGCTGAGCAAGACTGGTGAACTGGTAACAACAGAGGAGGAGAAGGCTGAGGTACACAACAACTTTTTTTGCCTCAGTCTTCACTGGCAACGTCTCTCCCCACACCTCTTGAGGGGATGGACCTCAAGACAGTGGCCAGGGGAGCAAAGTCTGTCCCACTGTAAGAGAAGATCAGGTTCAAGACCACCTGAGGAACTTTTCTATGGGTCCCAATGAGATGCATGCCAGAGTCCTGAGGGAATTGGCTGATGGAGTTGCCAAGCCAGTCTCCATGATACTTGACAA